TCCCTTCCCCTCTGCCCCAGCTCTCTAGCGCCTCCGCTGGACGCCATGCGAGAGGCGGGGGCTCGGCAACGGGGCGGGACTTGGTGTGCCTGGGGCGGGGCCTGGTCTGTGGGCGGGGCTTGGTGGGGTGAGGTTGAGTCTGGTTCCGCCCTCGAGGAATTACCCAGCCCCTTTCTGAGACTATGGGACCGGAAATACTGTGGAAATTGTTTTTCTCTTTAAGAGGCTAAACAGTCTTTCCCACCTGGTGTGAGCACGTTAATAATCCTTTCCCCAAAAAGTGTGAATTAAGTCCTCAAAGAACAGAAAAGGAAACTGAGGCTCAGAGATATCCAGGAGCTGGTTCAAGACCTGGCCTCACATTTCACCGAATCACACTACCTCCTGATTCTCTGTGGCCGCCGCAGGTGGCTAAGGAAACCCAAACAGCTGCCATAAAACTCCGGGCCCATTTTGGCTCACAATGCCTGTGGTGCAACCTAAATTAATTATTTTTATAAATCCCATCATTGCCTGCCTTTGAGTAGCATAATCTGCATTGTGTGCATGTTAAAAGTATTACTTTGTAAAGAGCAAACATTAAATAAGCCATAATTCTCACTGAAACCCTGAACCGAGTGTGTTATATGCCAGTGTCCTCAAAACTGGAGGCAGCCTGGTCTCTACCCTCCAGCAGGCCCTGACCCTATCATGGGCAGCACAGGAACCCAGGCTACAGGGTTGGGTCCTCCGGGGTTGGGTCCTTGGGTCCGTGGGAGGAGCCCATAGCCCAGGGGCACTGGGGCAGGCCGGAAAAGCCTCAGAGAGGAAGGGGTAACCCCCCCACACACACTGGGGAGGGGCCCCCCAGTGAGTTGCTGAAGCTGTGGCTGATGAGGAAGTGAGAGGCGGAGGTGAGGTGCTTCTGGGAGGTAAGCTGGGTGGTGGGGATAGGGGCTGGCCCAGCCTTTCTGCCACTTCAGGGTCTACCCCCTCTGCCACCAATAGAAGAAGGCACAGAAGGGGCTTGGTGAGATACCCTGAAACCTCCTCCCTCCAACCCCACAGCAACGTCCTGAGGCTGAGGACTGGTTGGATGGGAGGCCAGGCCAGGAGCTGCCTCTCACACGGGCCCTCCCCATATCTTGCAGCTTCTTTGTTGCATCTGGGGTCTGGGGCACCATGGCCCAGGCTCTGGGTGAGGACCTGGTGCAGCCTTGTGAGCTGCAGGATGATTCCAGCTCTTTGGGGTCTGACTCAGAGCTGAGTGGACCGGGCCCGTATCGCCAGGCTGACCGGTATGGCTTCATCGGAGGCAGCTCAGCAGAGCCAGAGTAAGTGGGGAAGGAATGGGGGAGGGGGGGGGAAGGGAAGGTGCCGGGATTGAGGATGGGGGTTGAATTCTAGAGTGAAGCCCAACCTCAAGGGTTCTGGGAGGGTCTGGGGACTTAGCAAATGTCACTCCTCCTAAGGCTCGCAGGACTGGGCCAGGGCGTTTTTTGTCTCTTTTACCCCCAACCTCCAAGGGTTTGGACACACCCTGGGGACCAAACATCCTTCCCTCTTTAATCTCTGGCCCAGGAATCCCAAATCCAAATCACAGAGCCCACACCTCTTTCGCCACTCTCCCCCTTTCCCAATATACAGACAGGATAACAAGTCCAGAGACACGAAGGAACTTGCCTGAGGTCACACAGCAGATCAGAGACAGAACCAGACTCAAACTCAGTACTCCTGGATTCTAGTCCAGGGCTTTGTCCACACAGCTTCTCCTCTGAGTTGTCTGTGTCCTTATCCTGGGGGATAGCCAACCAGCCCCTCCCCCAACACACACCTACACACCCCCTTAAGTCTTTCCTGCTTCCGCCCACATTGGAGCCACATCCTTTCCTGTCCCCATGACAACCACTGGCAACTCTTGGGTGACAGGTCACCCCCCAGGGGCTCATTCAGGTTGTATGAGGGTGCCAGATGTGGGCTAGGTAACAGCTGCCTGGCGCCTGGATGTCTATGCCATGTGCTCCTAGGCCTGGTCACCCTCCTGCAGACCTTATCCGCCAACGTGAAATGAAGTGGGTGGAGATGACTTCACACTGGGAGAAAACCATGTCTCGGCGGTACAAGAAGGTGAGGGGAGAATGGCCACACCCAGACCTCCTTGGCTTATCCCGCTTTGCATCAGCCCAGGCCCTGGCAAAATTTACCCCTCCTGTGTCCCAACACCTCCTGCTTTTTCTCCCTACCACCCAAAGTGGCCCTTGCCTGATGCTAAGTTGTGTTTCGGGCCTGCCAGTAGGAACAGGGAAGGCTGGCCCCGTTGGCCTAATGCGGCCCCTTGGCCTCCCCACAGGTAAAGATGCAGTGCCGGAAAGGCATCCCCTCAGCCCTGCGTGCCCGGTGCTGGCCCCTGCTGTGCGGGGCCCATGTGTGTCAGAAGAACAGCCCTGGTACCTATGAGGTAAAAGAGCTAGCAAGGGTCCCCCCTTTCCAGAGCCCCTCACCACTATGAGCCCTCACACCTACCTTCCAGCCTACCCACAGGAACTGGCTGAGGCTCCAGGAGACCCACAGTGGATGGAGACCATCGGCAGGGATCTGCACCGCCAGTTCCCTCTGCACGAGATGTTTGTGTCACCCCAAGGTCACGGGTACGAGGCCAATGATGCCCAGGGACCCCCCCCAGCCTCACAACCCCAGGCATTTTGGCCCAGTGCCACCCCAACTTTATGTCTTTGCGTCTCAGGGGAGCCAGCAAAGCTGGGGGTGGTGAAGCCTGGACAGAGGCATCAGAGAGGGGGAAGGGATGCCAGGAGGACTGAGCCCTAATGGGGTCTTCTGGCACAGGCAGCAGGGGCTCCTGCAGGTACTCAAGGCCTACACCCTGTATCGGCCCGAACAGGGCTACTGCCAGGCCCAGGGCCCTGTGGCTGCTGTGCTACTCATGCATCTGCCCCCAGAGGTGAGTGCCCTCAACCCTGCTCTAAGGACCCGACCCTGACCCTCCAACCCCAGTGACCTGTGACTCCCAACCCCAGGGACTCTAAGTTCAGATACCTGGAACCCTTTGTCCCCCAACGCTAGTGACCTAGGGACCTAGTAACCCTGTGCCCTGGGCCCATGACCCCTAACCCCAGGAACTCCGATGTCAGGAACCTGGGGTCCTTGACTCCCAGATTCTGTATTAGCGACCCAGGGCTTCATGACTGCTAACCTCAGTGACCTTTAAGCCCAACGACCTTGACTGCAGGAGCCTGGGACCCTTTAGCCTTGACTGTTGCCCCAGCGATCTAGGAGTCTGGATGTTATCATCTTGATCTCATTACTCCTGTTTCTGAACCCTGCGACCATGATCCCTGACCCAATGACCGCAAGAATCCAGGACTTGAGTTTGGGATCCTCCCAACCCTTGACCAGTGAGCCTCTATTCTGTGACCCTCAAATCCCACACCCTGAACCCTGTGACCCATGAGCAGGGGGAGTCTTTTGGTAAGAGCCCCGCCCCCCAGCACTGAGTCCAGGCTCCTGGCTCCAGCGTCACCGCAGATGGTATCCAGGCCCTCCCCTGTACCCCTTCCCCGTGCCCTGCGGTCCCCCTTGTGGCCCCTTCATGGCGGGCATTCATGGCCTGTGCCCTGCCCCCAGGAAGCCTTCTGGTGCCTGGTGCAGATCTGTGAGCTTTACCTGCCGGGCTACTACGGGCCCCACATGGTGAGAGGCTGGGATGGGGCCAGAGGGCTCGGGGAGGGGCTGGGTGGGTGGATGGGGGTCTGGGGACTGAGGGGGGCAGAGCCTGCAGGGCTTTGGGAGTGGAGGTGCTGATGGATGTGGCCACAGGAGGCTGTGCAGCTGGATGCTGAGGTGTTCATGGCCCTGCTGCGGCGGCTGCTCCCTCGTGTGCACAAGCACCTGCAGCAGGTGGGCGTCGGGCCCCTGCTCTACCTGCCTGAGTGGTTCCTGTGCCTCTTCGCCCGCTCCCTGCCCTTTCCCACAGTGCTGCGCGTCTGGGACGCCTTTCTCAGTGAGGGTGAGTGGGCAGCCTCCTGCGGGCAGGGGGCTGGGGCTGGAGCTGTGGGGTGCTCAGTGCGCACAGGGAAGAGCCCGACAGCTGTGCTCTGCCCTGCCTGCCACTGCCAATCCTGGCTCTGGGTCTGGGTGCCCAGCTGTGCTGAGGGTGATGCCACCCTGCCGGCTCCGGGAAAACAGCCCAGCCCCAGGCCACACACTAGTGTAATGAATGGTAGTCCCTGTCCCCTGCAATGAGACCACTGTAGGCAGGGCAACCTCGGCCTGGGGGAGGGCTGGGGCCAGGGAGGCTCCCCCGAGGTAGATGGGGCAAAAGCTGGGGATGTCACAGCAGTGGAACAGCTCAGGGACTGGCGCAGCGGGGACACGGCCAACGGTAGAGGCGCCATCCGGGAGCCCACAGGCACTTGGTGAGCTCTCACTGGTGCCAGGCGCTGCCCTGGACACCGGGGCCACCTGAGTACGTGGACCTGCATCCTTGTGGGGGTGGAGGTGGAAAGCGACAGTAACCAAATTAACGAGACAGTTATAGGTTGTCATAAGTGCCATGAAGAAAATAAAGCAAGGGATGTGACTGAGTGTTAGGAGAGATTGCTGCTTTTAAAGATGCTTGTGGCTGCTTCCTGAAGGAGTCAGTCTTGCAGGTGCAGTGTGGAAGCGCGGAGCCCAGGCAAGATGCTGTCCTCAGGGTCCAGGTTGCAGATGACTTGGGGGCTGCAGGCGTGGAGAGAGGTGAAGCCAGAGAGGTGGATGCCTGGGCCAGGCCAACAGTGGGGGAGTCCGCTGAGGGGACTCTGGGTCTTTGGGGCTCTGCCTCAGTTCTCCCAAAAGTAACCCACCTGCACTCTCTTCTATATGGGTTGTCCGGCAGTTGCACCTAAAAAATGGTAGCAATCAACCGGCACATATATTGAACACCTGCTGTGTGCCAAGTTGACTCCAGGATGGCTTAGAGCTCTGGCCACTGGTGTCCAAGTCGCCATCTATGCGTCACCTCCCCTCCAGCCTCAGATTTCTGGAGAGCAGGCCAGGGCAGGGCCCTATCAGTGGGGCTGAGCTATCCTTGCCCTCTCTACTGAGGACAAGCACTGCCGCAGCCTCCTTTTCATAAAGATAGCATTAGTAGTCGCTCTCATCCCTTTACGAGTCACAGTTGTCACTAGGCCTCGCTAGTCCGCTGACTGCTCTTCTAAGGAGACCCGAGCCTGCCCGGAAGGGCTTCTGAGGCTCTGGGGATGGCCCAAGAACACACGTGTGTGCTAGCATGTGTGTGCATGCATGTGTGCATAATGCTGTTGGTTCAGGGGTGAGGAGCTCCGGCTGGAATCTCTCTGGAATCAGAAGGTCACAGCTGCCAGCTGAAAGGGCCTTAATTGGCAACCCCAACCCCACCCCCGGCCCTTGCTTGTGGAGGTGAAAGAGGGCTTGCTGTGAGGTTATCAGTCGCCCTGGTTCCTAGAAGGCTGCCCAGCCCACAAGTGTCTGTGGCTGCTGAGACATACTTACCAGAGCTTCCACATTGCGCTCCTACTCTCAGTCCCTGCGCCTGGCCTGGGTTGTGGTTCCAGAGCTACAGGGGGCTGGAAGGAATGTGGCCGAGAGGGCAAGTTCAGGTGCAGAACTGAGGAGGGGCAGGGCTGGCCCTCACTGAGTGAGCTCCCCACCTACAGGTGTGAAGGTGCTGTTCCGCGTGGGGCTAATGCTGGTGCGCCTGGCACTGGGCACCACAGAACAGCGCCTGGCCTGCCCGGGACTCCTGGAGACGCTCGGCGCCCTTCGAGCCATCCCCCCTGCCCAACTGCAAGAGGAGGTCTTCATGCCCCAGGTGGGTGCACCCTGCCCGTCCTCCCCTGCTGCATAGTTGGGGAAACTGAGCCCCAGAGCTGGAAGTCAGAATGAGAACCGGTACTCAGTTCCTGTCCTCTGAGCAGCAGAGAATGTGAAAACCCCAGGCCTCAAGTGCCTTTCTATGGCTCCCTTGGCGAGGCTGTCAGCCCCTCAGCCCTCAGCCACTTCCTGGGCTGTGTACTGCCCGCCCTGTGGGGACTTCATGGTTTCCTGCCCTCCCCCAGTCCAGACAGACTCAGTACCAACCGCTCCCCGCAGGTGCACAGCGTGGCCCTGTCCGAGCAGGACCTGCAGCGGGAAATCAAGGCCCAATTGGCCAAGCTGCCGGAGTCGACGTCCGGGCCACCCCCACAGCCAAAGGCCCGCCTGGCTGGGGCCCAAGCCATCTTTGAGGCCCAGCAGTTGGCAATTGCACGGGGAGGCTCCAGGCCTGAGGTGCCCCGCATCGTTGTCCAGCCCCCAGAGGAGCCCAGGCCACCGCGGCGCAAGCCCCAGACCCGAGGCAAGACTTTCCACGGGCTGCTGACTCGGTCCAGAGGCCCCCCAATTGAGGGCCCCACGAGGTCCCATCGAAGCTCCAGTTCCTTTCTGGACACCCGATTCTGACAGTCCCACTTCTAGGGTACCATGGACTCCGTGCCCCCCAACCCCAGTTGCCTGAACAGTTAGTTGATGCCATCCTCACAAACAGGCACCGCACTTTATGCCTGGGATTTGGTGACTCTGCTCCCTTTCCACTGTTAACCGAAGGTAAATGAACCAGGAGGCACTGGCTAGACATAAATGATTATGATTTATTCAAAGGTCTTAGGGTTTGCAAACTGGAAACACGACTAGGCAATAGCCGGAGGGTCCCGAAGAAGAAAGAAAAGCCGAGGGTGATTCTTGTGAAAAGCACATTCTTGAGCAGAATTAGTCCTGCATTCTTAGGCTCTGGGTTGATTGGCGATGGTGATCTTCCAGATGTCAGGCGGTCTGCACACGTGAACGTTCTTTCCTAAGTTCTTCATTTTTTCCAAAGTCCTATCTATAGGAATTTCTAACTCTCCAGGCATTGACGCACAACTGGAAAGTTCAAAAGTTTAAGTCCTCAGGCTAGTTAAAGTAAAATAAAATCGTTTTCTCATGCTTCAGCTCGTTTGATCTGAACCAGTTTTGTCAGCTTGACTATACAGACTCCATTTTGAGTCAGCCTAGCTATACTGATTTCATCTTGTTTTCTTTATTCACTCATTCCTCACCACGAACTACATCAGGCACAGGATGAAGGAAGGTCACAGAGTGAGGTTTCGGGGGCCCAGGCCCACCATCTGCCCACAGAGCTGTCCTGGTGCCTGGGCCCTGGCAAGCATGGAAGCAACATTGAAGGAATGTGGGGTTAAGGGTGGCTGGCTGGACTAGGGACCCCAAAGGACTCCTGGCGAGGCCTGGAATAAAGTCTGACCGAGCAGAAGCCTGGCTGGAGTTGGATCGCATGCCCTCCACCCCCAACCTTAGACCAGCTGCGCTTCCTTTCCAGCCCTCACTCCTGCCCCGCCTCTCCTAGTCCAGCCCTGGTTCCACCAGACACACCAAGGCTGCCTGCCCATTGGCTGCTGGAAGGTGTTTACCAGCAACATGAGCCAATGGTAAGCTGTCTTGTCCAGCCTCCTGGGGGCAGGTAAAGCTCCCCACCTGTGGGAGGAGGACTTCCCAAATGGATGCTGGGCCCAGAAGTGGGGCTCTACTCCCTATTTCACCCCTCCCCCAAGGCTAGTTCAGGACGGGATTGGGGGATCTAAACCAAGTCCACATACACACACACCCATGGTCCTGGTCTCATTTTCAGAGGGAGCCAGGCAGGAACAAAGGCCTAGTGTGCCCAGGACAAAGGAGAAAGGTCCCGCTGGCCCCTGTCCCCTCCTGAAGCCCTGCTGCACCCCCCCGGGACTGCCACCATGGAAACCCCCTCCCACACTCACTAATTGCCCCCGTGGGTGCCTGGGGCGCGAGCCATTGCCAGGACAACAGGGCTGGTTCCAAGGCACGCTTGCCTCCCTGTGGTGCCCATTCCCGGGGGTCCTGCCTCCCTGGGCACCCTCCTCCCCAGGGTAGAAGCGGGAGGGTGGGGGGCATGGCAGGACTCGGGAGTACGGGGAGAAAGCTTCTGGAATCCTGCTTAGATCGTGGAGTCATCAGTCTGCCCGTCCCCATGGCTGTGCTGGAACATTGGCATGGCCACGCATCAGGCCCTGATTCGGAATGTGGCAGGGCCACAGGCTGCGGGGGTACACTCACTCTACATAGGTTCGTGTGGTGCTTACTACGTGCCTGGCCAGGCCCGGGGTGCAGCGCAGTCCAGCCCACTCCCAAGGAGCCTGGAGGAAGCAGCACAGAGGCCCAGGCCCAGGCCCAGATCTGCGGTTCCGGGGGAAACAGGCTCAAAAGGAGACCTCAGGTTTACCCCTCCCCCTACATCGGCAGCCATGGACCTGACCCCACCACTGGGCACTCACCTCAGTCTGCCCTCCTGGGGCTGCTCTCTCTCCTGCTCCCAACCACTTCCCCAGCCTGGGTCCCAGCCCCTGTGAGTGTATAGCAGCAGCTGGGCCATGAGAGTTAAGAGAGCTCCCCAAGCCTACCCTGCCACCTCACCTGCAGGTCACGGACCCCTCACCACACACCTGCTCTCCACTGGTGGCACTGACAGCCACTTTAGAGAAAAAGGGAAATGGAGGCTGGGGAGGTGGGGCGGGCAAGTACCCAGCCCAAGATCACAGTGGGGGCAGCGGAGGCCGTGCCTTCCAGACCATGCCTTGGCCCAGAGCGGGGTAGCTAATGGAATCCTAGACACTGTAGCAGGTAGGGGAGGGGGACTTACCCCTGGAGTCCCCCCCACACAAAACTCCCTGCCCTCCGTGGGCTCAGCTCTTCTGGGACAGTAGGGGAACAGGAAAGGAACAGCCTCAGCCCACGTGGGGCATCTGTCATGAGGCTGGCAGTGGGTCCCCCTGGATATAGACCAGAGGGGCAGGCGGTCTCCAGCAGGGCCAGCTGGGGCTGAGTCACTGCCTTTTCTAAGCATTTTCTGGGCAGGTGTCCTTATCAACCATCTCCATGGGGGGCCTGAGCCGAGGAGGCAGACGAGTAGCTCTCCCCACGCTTTTCTACACATGCTGTCCCAACAAGGCTGTGCTAGCCCCTACAGCACCTGTGAGCTAGTCGGGAAAAGATGCCTCTCCTCCAGTCACGTGCAGCCCTGCCTGGAAGAAGGGAAGTGACCACTCAACTGAGTACCTTTGTGCAGTGAGCAACCTGTGCAACCATACTCAGTGAACCTGGCACACCCAGCTCACTACAAACCTGTGTGGAAAAGGGCTCAGAGAAGGAAAGCCATGCACCTGAGAGCACTCAGCCTGTGGGGACCAAAGCTGGAATGGCACTCAGCAATATCCGTTGGCCTGGGTCAGCCCAGGAGACAGGAGTGGGAAGGAGGGCAAGTAAAGAAGTGGAAGGGCAAATGGATCCCACCTTGGTGGTGGGAAGAGCCCACAGTCTCCATCTGCACTGCTACTTACCCCAGAGGGTCCTCCCTATCCCCACACTGTCCCAGGCTCTTAGAGGTCAGACTTGGACGGCCTGCGAAGTCTCTGCATGGGGAAGGCCCTCTCACTTTTCTCTGAGCTTCAGGTTTCTCTTACACGTAATGGGATAATAATTGCCTCCACCCAGTCCCAGGAGTGTTCTGCCAGTCTCATTACTATGATTATTGTTCAGTCAAGCTGGGCAGCAGCCCAGCCTCTGATGACCTCCAGGCAGAGCAGGGCCACCCTGTCAGCCTGCGTGCCCTAGTTCCCAGGTCTGAACTGCAGTTACCTTACCCTGGTTTTCCTCCCTACACCCACAAGGCAAACACCATCACAGTCGGTGCTGAGCCAGGGCAGTGTGGGAGTGGGCACAGAGCCACGCTGCTCTCTGTGCATTTATGCATGCACCCTCACAGGGGGAAGAGGAGCCCAGCTCCGCTGCTCACAGCTGTGTGACCTTGGACCAGTCACACCACCTCTCTGAGCCTCATTTTTCCTCCTCTGTAAAAGGCAGAGAATCATCACTGCTACCTCACAGGGCTAAGTGAGATATGCACATAACACCCTCCACACAGTGCCTGGGAGCAGGTCAAGACACTCTTGCTGACACTGATACTGAGCTGTTACCTACCTGTACTCACTCCTTGCCCAGCCAAGCCTAGGCTAAAGTGTACATTCTAATCCGCATTTAAGGATGAGAAAGCAGTCCACAGAGGCTGCATAGCTTGTGTTACAAATAAGACAAAAAACAAGACAACAGGCCCAAAATGGAGTTGCTTATGCTAAGCCCCACGTCACCATACAAAGGCTTAATTACAGTTTTAGCTCTCCCATGGAAACCAGTCAATCAGGAGTCACCTGGTCAGCACTAGTTAGACCCCTGTCATCCCCTAAAAGAAAGTGACTTTACAATAACCAACCTGCTTTTTTGTTTAGTAAACTTCCTTGTTCCTGCTCCCGTCTGCCTATAAAGTCTTTTATTTTGCTCCTCGGGGCTCCTTTCTATTGGCTAGATTGGATGCTGCCCAATTTATGAATTGTTGAATAACGCCAATACAATCGTTAAACTTGACTCTGTTGAATTTTGGTTTTGAATACTTGTTAAGTGACAAAGTTCATGCTCTTTGATGACTTCCATGCCCCACCCCTGCTCCCACCAGTGGGATCAGTAGAGCTCAAGTTACCCATACTGCAAGAGACCGGACCTTCTAGGGTGGCCGCACCTCATCCCAGGAGCCTGGGTCTGTGGACCTGGAGCCAGCAAAGCCCCAAGCAGCCAGTCCTGGAAAGCTGTGTGGAGAATGTGGGCTGGGCTGTAGGGCCCTGGATAAGTCACTTCTCCCCTCCGACTTGGTAGACAGGGGTGGGTCCTCACAGGCAGAAAGGACCCAAAACTGCCACCCCTGTCCCCACAAGTGCCACGGGGCCCCCAGGAGGCTCTTGAGGACAGCCAGGAGGTCTCTAGGGAGAGGGTCTGAGTTTGGGGATGTGAGATGAAGGAATTGTAAGAATAGCCTACATTTGCTGGGCGCTGGCATGTGGGAATCCTCACAGCCCTGTGAGGTGGGAAATAGCCCCATTTTTAGTGGGAGGAAAGCAAGGCTCAGACCAGAAAGGGGCGATACCCAAGTCCCATGCTGGAGCTAGAGCCGGAACCCACCTGGTGTGACGACACACACTTGTTGAACAGAGGGTGTGAGTCTCTGGGTATGTTTCTTGGGGTGAATTCGTGCCTGTGAGCAGGCTCTCTTGGGGCGTGCTTCTGTGGGTGCACTGGGTGTAAAGATGGGTGTCTTGGGGAGACTGCACGTGTCCAGCTGACCTGGGTGTTAACGGGCAGGACAGACCCTGTAGATGACTCTCTTCCCCTGCTCAGACCCACTGGAACCTGCCAGCCTGGAAACCCCTCCTGCCCCTTTCTTCTTAGACATGTCGGGCAGAGGGTGTCCCAGGGAACTGGGACCTCCCTGAGGGGGCATCTTTTGGAGTGGTCACTAGTCTGATAGAGGCCAGGAAAGGTGAGGAGGGGACCCCACACATGCACAGGGACCGCTGCCTAACAGAGCCTTTCTGGGAGGGTGCCTAGGGCAGCAGAGTGCTTGTGGCTAGGACAGCTGCTGGCCGGTGTGCTGGGCAGCTCAGGACAGCCACCCAAGGGCAGCGCTCCGGACTGTGTGCCCCAGGGCTCTCCGGGCCACCCCACCCCCAAGGGTGGGCATAGTACCAGTCTCTGTCAGCTCTGCTCTCCCCTCCCCCTATCCTCTTTCCATTTCTTCCACTATGGGACGTTCTCTCTCTCTGTCCCTGTCCTCACTTCTGTTTTTTTTTTACCACTGTCCTAAGTCCGATCCTCTCTGGCGATCCCCGTCCAATGGTACCTGGTCCTCTGTTTGACTCGGTCTGTGTCTCCGACGATCCCTTCTGTCCCTCTGTCTCTCCCTGGCCCTCCCGGTGCCCTGCCTCTTGCGGGTCCAACCCCAGGACTGTAGATCTCCTGACGGGTGGCGGGTTTCTGTGGGAGGAGGGCTGGGGTGGGTCCCCTGGGCCCGCCCTGCCGTCCCTGGCACTGGGCATGTCCCTGGCGCTTCTATATAAAGCAGCGCTGCCTCAGCCCGGCGCTGTGTCGCCGCCCGTCGCAGAGTTCCCATCCGGTCCGTGCTGCCTTCCGTGCTGCCTGCCGAGCCCCACCCAGCCTCTGTCACCCGCCAGGTACCCCGGCTCCTGCCCGCCCCGGGGAGAGCCTGGGAGGGGGGCTGCAGGGGCTGGGGCCGCTGGCACAGGGACCTTGAACACCCTCGCCCCTCAGCGGGACCCGGGACACTACCTGCCCCAACAGATCCCATGATGACGTGTGAGCTCGCGGGGCAGGATCCACGGGTGGGGGACAGAAATCCCTCCAGCCTCCATGGGGTGGGGGTGGGGCAGCTTTGGACACCTCCTGGGAGGGACAAAAGAGAGGCACTGTGGGGGCCATCTCTCTGCCCCCAAAGTCTTAGGGGCTGAGCAGTGAGGTAGAGACCCCTCTGCCTTGACTCCCTCTTTTTTTTTTTTTTTTTTTTTTTTTT